TCCAAGCGGGTACCCAAATGCTCTGACTTGTGGCTTCTTTTGAGAGAAATCTTTTCTTCCTCTTCACCATCGCTATTAAAGTCTTTACTTCAATAAAAAATGAAGAAATAATATTAAGAAAAAAAAAATTTTCCCCCATTTCACGGATCAGATTATTTACTATTTTTTTCCCTTGCAAAGACTTAAGGAAGAGTCCTCATAAGTCATATATGAAAGACAACATGGTCTCATCTTCTAGATTTTACGGCTCAGTGGGTTTAACACTGTATTTTACTCTGGCTGTACCACTGTCAGGTACCACAAAGTAAAAACTTAACACAGAAATGTAAGAATAAAACCTGTGTAATCTGAGAGCTTATTCTGCCTGTGTTTTACACACTACCTCACATCTCACTGGTGATACACATTTATCAGATGCAGACAAGCAGATCGACTGACATTCATAATTCTTCACTGAGGCCAATGGAGGAGTATTGAATGCAGGATGCTTTTCCTGTAAATAAGTGTTCCAAGAACTGAAAAAAACCCCTAAATTTCAATACTCCCTTTTCTTGGTCTCTAAGAGGAGAGAGAAATTCCCATCTGTTCTACCTGACATCTCTATCAGCATTCCTCTTTTCCAGGGGAGGTTTCAGACCTGCAGCCCCCAGCCAGAATGGAGAGAATGCAGCTTAAACGCCTGCTGGAGAGTTAAAGATCAGCTCTTAGGCTGCCAAATCTGAATAGCTCTTTTCTGCACCACTGAAAAGCAATGAGGACGCTTCAGTGAACACTCTAGGTTGTTTAGGTAGATGAATAGTCGAAGTTGCTTTTCTGGCATGTCCTCTTGTATGTACGCTGGCACCATCCCACAAAGCTGAAAGGCGCACATGGCTTATGTTGCACACTTCCCTCTCCACTCAGATAATATTAGCTCACTTTTTCTATCTAAAACGTGTATTGCATTAAATTACCAAGTGGATCCCAAGTGATGGTAGAGGCTTTGCACGAGAAAAAACTCCCTCAATAAACACATGTGCTTTCCTTTGCATTTGCATAAGTAAAACTTCCAGGTCAAACTTACCATGGTACTAGGCATGCTGCAATGAGCCATGTCCTGAGCAAGAGGGATAGGCTGAACCCTCCAGGGGAAGGGACTGCACAGGAGAAGGAGCAGTCGAGCAGTTCTCCCACTAGAAGGAGAGAACCATCCAAAGAGCCACCCAAGCTTGAACAGGGATGTGCGGAGTTTGCTCCTTGCAGAGGTTGGCTTGTTAACATGAAAATATTAACAAGGAGCTTTCCCATAACCATGTCTGTGTTACAGAGTGCTTGGGATAATCAAAGTCAGTAGAAGGACAGGAGGAAATCAACTTCCTTTTTCCTTTAACATATCTTCTTGAGAATCTGTTGCTAATGGCCACAACAGCAAATGGCACCACCATACTGCAGCGTAAAATAAGATCTGCAAAGTAATATCCATAGACCTGGGGATCCTGATCTTTAGCTCTTCTTAGTTCATTAAAATACCAGTTTTCTATATTTATAAAGCACTGCCAACTTAAGGGATAATGCATAATGATGGGATGTGTGTGGCACCATCTGATGGATATTCAGTATTTCAGGTCCACTTTCTCATGTCTGGTTGTCTCTGTCTCTCTGGTCTATTGAAATATTGTGATTAAATCCTCTTACTCCACTGCTTCCTTACTGATACTCCCCCTTTGTCTGGCAAAATTTTAATTACTATGGTACTGCATAACTCCATTCAGCGCTCTGATACCACCACTGTGACAGGAGCAAAAGCAATTCCCTAAGATAGAATGCAAGTATAATACTCTATCATTATGTCTTCCTTATGGCTCCTAGTACTCTCTTTATGGCTGCTAATATACTGTGGTCTCTGCCTTTCTCTTACTGATTTCTGCTCTCCTCCACTAAATGTGTCCTTTTCCTTACCCAGAGATATAACACCCCATCTCTGCTATCTCTTTCCTGCTCCCAGATATAATGTAGTGAAGTTCTCTTCCCCTTATCATGTTATTCTTTCCCATCTCTCAAAGACAGGAGGCTATATAATGCTCTACATCTTCTGCAACACAATTAGCAGCCGGGAGGCAATGGTCTGTACTCAGTGTTACTGTGTGTTGCTTAAAGCACAGTGGGTGGACCTAATAAAAAAGTAAGAGCAGAAACACTGAAATCTTCAGAGGACTGAAGGGAAAACTGAATTAACAAGCTTAAATATGCCCCCAGAGGGGAATGCACAGGAGCTTTTCATACCTATTGGTTCTGCTGGGTTGCTAACTCCTCCTGACATTAAGTACAGTTAAAACCAGACATGGTCCTACTGCAGGGCAGGCAGAATTTTACATGTGAACTGTACACGTACATTATCATGTAATTTTAACTTAAAATTCCATTTGAGCATCAATAGTACTGGCCTCCCTTTCAGCCAGTCCTCTCCACTTCTGCTCTCACAGCAGCAGTACTGGTTCACGTTATCAGAAGCCTTAAGGGGAACAGGTCAGTAGAAAATCTCTGCACTAATACATTTCAACACCTGAGAGGCAAAAAAGCAGCAATTAAGCACAGCAAAATAAATAATTCAATAGTTAATTTGACCTGCTGGGTTGTGGAGTATTTCTTTATAACCTACCAGATTGTATTTTAGTTTACAAGAAGTGTCCCTAGAGAGTAATGCTGTGGAAGCCCATAAAACGCTATAAAGCAGTGAAAGGCAAAGGGTCACTCGCAAATGGGGCAACTATTATTTAAAGAAGAGGGTTTTTTGTTGTCAGTGTCCTGCATATTTCATGAGAAAGTGATTAAGTCCTTCTATGATTCTTTATGAATTAATCTGCCAACTGCTTAGGCAGGTAAAGCAGCCATAGATTGGAAGACTGAAATTGCACTGCTTGTACTTGAATTTTAGATGGAACACAAACCAAACAGAAAGCTAATGCTCTGTTCTGTGGTAAAGGAATTGGCTTCTTTTTAATTGCCTCACAAATAATCCATAGACAGCTTTGAGTGGGAGCAATCCACGTGTCCTCTGGAGACATGAATATACATTGAAAACAGGGGAAATATTAATGCAAGATGAGAGTTAATAGGAGAACAGAACAGCGGTACTTTAGCAAGGTACTGCTGCATTACTACTGCATTTATAGGGCTATGGAGTAGGGGTAATGTTAACCTGGCGGGAAAAAAGAAAGCTGTCCAGATGGAAGGATTTCCAGTCCTCCTAGTAAAAGACGAGATGGAAATTGAGATGACAGGCACTGTGTGTGCACAGGTGGACAGAACTGAAACTAGAGGGAACCAAGTAGAACAAGGTATGAGATGGCTGTCAGAGGTGGAGGGGAACAACAGCAGCAACACCAGAAGGGAACTCTGAGCCTCCACATGTGGCTCTGAAACAAAGGGATCTGCAATGCTTCCAGGGAACGATTGCTATTCTCATTTATCCTGTGTGGCTACTCCAGAAGCCAAGTGGTCTCACAGCAGCTGCACAGTGCACTGAGACTTCAACACACTTCTTGAAAGCAGCGTACACCAGGGAGGATGCACTAAAGCAAATGCTCTTACCTCTGATATGCACACATTGTTATTTACTGAGTAGTCTAGCGTCCTGCCACGCTGATCTCAACCATTTCTGATCTTGATGCAAAGCAGTGAGGTTTAAGAAGCTCCAGACCAACCTAAAAGCCACAATAAACCCCCCTTCATCCTTACTGACACCACCACCTAGCTCCTCTGGGCAGATTACATCAGTAAGATCTCCATGTCTGTACAGAAGTGGTAACAAAATCCTCTGCGAGGGTCAGAAAACCTTAGCTTGGGCAGGAGAAGCACCGGAACAGCACCCTCAGCACACTCTCCCCTGTCCCGGATCCTGTCCAATAGCTGATGTTACACTGCATGAACAGTTGCAATGATTTGAAATATTTAGCTGCTTTAAAAGTAAATATATAAATTAAACCAGCTCTTAGGTTTCTAGAAAATTACTACAACTGCTATTATGGTCTTTCACAGTCCTGGGGGAAAAAACTCACGGTGAACATAAACCAGCTGCACTACAAGACTTATTTTATTGCATCTTCCATTTTATCAAGATATTCATGAAAATACAAAAATAAACACTCTACTCCTCTGCAATTAAGTTTATCTCTGGTTGTAAGTACAGCTATTTTTAGTTTTAATTTGGGGATATCTCCCAGAACTGCAGAGCATAATCAGCTCCACCACAACCCTGCATCATCAGCATCAAAGACAAGTCTATCTTTGGAAAATACACGTTTTACTCACTGAAGGTCCCAGCAGCCCTTTTCGAGCTGACAATGAGGACCAGTTGCTCCAGTCCCGACTTCCAGTAATGCCAAACATCGGCCACTAAGTGGTGCTACAAAGATTTATTCCAACTGCAGATCTGGCCCATTAAGCCCAAAACTGCACTTGCCACAGCTGATATTGCTCCCTTGAGAAACAAAGGGGATGAGGAAAGGTGTGCTCATTTCAAGCCCCATTAAAAATGCAGGAAATAATTCAATGTTTCCCTCAAATGAAATGCAAAGAAAATGTATGAGGAAACCAGATTGGTATTCAAGTTTCTAAGAAGGAATTGCAGAAAATGACAAGAGATAAAAAAAAAAGAGTAACTTGCAAGCATGCATCTTCCACCAGCCCAGAGCCTCTTTAATGGTGTCTCCCCATTTGACTGGTTTGGAGGTTTTGGATTCATTGTGGTTTAAACTACTTCTCTCTCCACTGAGCTGTACAAGAGCAGGCACAACAGCCTTCCTATGGATCTTGCAGCCATTCCAAAAGATTGTCAGAGCTGCTGCAATAATCAAGATCATTATTCAGAAGTAATTGCTATTGTGATAAGAGCAGCCTACAGCCTCATCCCTACAGTTATTCAGCTTTCCTGCTACTGAGCAAATCTCTTTCACAGCCTTGGAGATAAAGAGCATGGTGCAACAGTAATGCTCTCCCTGCGGGAACAGCCAACAACTTACCAGCCAATGTTGAACTCAACGTGAGCATCAAAGAACCCAACAACAGGAGATGTTGCTGCTTTCCAGCCTTGGATTCTGGCTCGAATCAGCCCTTCTCGTTTGGTATTGCGCACTATTTTCACCAGCCCTGGGTATCTTTTATTGACATACTGGTCCAGATTAAATTTTAGCTCAACTGCAAGACAAAAAAACCCAAATAAATATTCAGAATGAGAAAAGCCCTGAAACATTATGTTTTACTTTCATTTATTCTGCAACCGAAAGGGAAAGACATCCTGAACTATTCCTAAACACTTAAGTCTCACAGATGCAAACCAAGTACCCCAGCTGTGGCATGGACTAGTTCCAGGGGGCTCAGCTCAGAGAGACCTGCACAGGTTTAATCTCATGGATTTGAGTACTGTTTTGAAGGGGTATTTTGTATAAATATCATTAAATGCTCTCTATTTTAACCCTCTGATTGTTGGCATTAGGGTACAACTGGCCTCTGGAAGAGCAATTCTGACCTTATGGCACTGTAACAGTCTGCAATTTTTTACAGTCTGGTGGTTTGTTTTTCTGATTTATGCTATTCATTAAGAGTTTGAAAAATAACCTCAATGGATTTTGGGTCAAGACCTAATTCAGCTCACAATTAATTTGCCTTAATTTTAAAGGTTTACCCTTAAATATAATTAAGACTCCTCAATACTAGGCTTCTTCCCCATTCAACTAAATGGATACTGAAGATTTCAAATAGACTTCTCTTTTGTTCATTTTCAGGCATTCAACCACAGATGGAGCAGAACTCATTCACTCTTTATTCAGCTTCATTTCAATAGGCTTATGAACGGGCGAATTACCAAAATGCTCTATTTTTTTAAATCAATCTAGTTTGGTAATTCATTTACACTGCAGCTTATTCATAATGAGGCTTTTACTCAAATATATTTATTAGGAAAACTAGTAGAAGCTTCCAGGACATTAGAAGCCTCATTCTTCTGATCTATATTACACAGTAGAATCATTATCAGTGAAATCAAAGACCTGATAAATCTCCAGCTATCTAGAAGAATGACAGAGAAAAGCCATATAAGAGTTCACTGAGAAACAGTGCATCCAGTTTTCCTCTGTATCAGACTGACTCAAACACTTTGCAATCTCACGTGATTACTCCATAGGTTACACTGCTGTAACTGAAAGTAGAACTGGACAAAAAATCTCTTACATCTATAGGTTTGGGAATTAATTTTTGTTTGGCACTTATTTTTAGTGATTTGTTCTCTCAACCCTCCTTTCTCTTTGGGGATCTGGAAGAGAAACAGCAACTTCAAACTGAATGATTTAAAGCTGCTCATCTGTGGAGGAACTGCTAAACTTGAGCCTTATTTTAGTAAATATGATTTGAGAAGATGCATCAGTTGCAGAAGTGTAAGGCACAGCAAGTTAAATCACAACACCGCTGCTAGTCACCTGTACCCTAAAAGTTCTTCAAACCTTCCCGACCTGTGAAACGAGTTGATCAACAGCACCCTTATGCTCCCCAATATTTTGATTTTTGAGTGCTGTGGTAGAAGTGTTGTTTTTACATTAATGACTGAGATAGCCTGAAATAGGCATGCACTTTGTGCCCATTCTGTTTCACTCTCATAGTCTTAATTTACCCCCTAGCTCAAAATTGAAGAATCTGTTGCTGCACTTTTCCTTGGAAGCAGAATTTCAACTTTTAGTCTATTAATGACGATATTCCTCTGGATCTGAAAATCTTGAGAAAACTGTCATTTCTAGATTAAGATTGCCCATACAAATGCCATTCATCCTGTGAAGATTCCAATGAAATCAGCAGGGTTTATCCACATCATGATTACTTGTTATACAAATAGTTCATATTTACTCACAACTTTGTGTAAATGGCTCAATCAACCTTCTCATCAACAAACTCTTGTAAATTCTACTGACTTCAATAAGAGGTATGTTAATTTACACCATCTTGTGATCTCGCTTGTTAGCCATAAATCAGTGTTGCATGTATGACCTTCCTCTGCTTGCTATTTAAATGCAGAATGACTCAATGCTTTTTCACCCCAACACTGAAGAAGGAAAGGCATTTCAGCTCATAGTGACCAAACTCTGTTTGGATGCCCATTAACCACACCGTATTTACAGAAGAAGTTACTTGTGCTCACCATTGTCACTGTTGTCATCCACCAGAATGATCTCCTTGAGCAAGTGTGATGGGGTGTGATTCACAACGCTGTGCACAGAGCGCAGGATGACAGACAGTGCCTCATTTACAAATATAAAGACCACAGAGATCTGGGGAAGGTCCTCCAGGTAGGTCATCTGTTTGCATCTGGAGAGAAGAAAGAAGTGTTAACAACCAAGCAGCCACTGGGAGGTAAAACAGACTGAAGAGTGTCTTTTCCTCATCACTGTCCAGCATTTAGGGACTTGCAGGCTTTGTTCTTTCTAACCCCAAAGATGCACATAGTAAAAGCTCAATAGAAGCAACACAGCTAGAAGCAGTAGCCTCAGTGAAAATCAAAGTGTCTGCATGCACACAGACTTGCAGCAGCTCTCATTCTCCCGAAGGTTAAAAGCATCTCTTGGAAACCAAAGAAATACCAGTGAGTTTGCTCAGAAACAATCTGGAGAAAGCACACAACACTATAGCCTATCTGTGCGCCCTGGAGCACCATCAGAAGGTCTGCTCTTAACTCAGTATTAGAGCTCATGCTTTTAAAACCAGGACCCGCTCAAGCAACTTTTGCGTTTGCCCACACAAAGAGCACTTGCCACCTTTCTCATTCTGCAGTTTGTGCAGCAAGAACAAAGGCAGGATATCTGTTGTACAGAAACACACTTGCCCCAATGTTTGCAAAGCAGCTCTGCTCTATCTGAGATGTCACACTGGTAGGTACCTGCATCCCGAGATTCACAGTTCGCTTTCGCACTTGCTCACTTACCCATATATGTTGCAATACACTAACTAGAGTAGAAAAATGGAGGCCTGGAGAAGTTACACAGCACAGAGCAGAGCCTCTGCTCCCAAGCCCCCAGCCCATTTCCCCCCTAACACCATGCTGCCTTGTTTAATGGAATTCTCCCCACTAGCTAAGATAGTAACTTTAAAAACGTGTTCTCACAGTCAAAATCCATCCAGAATTACCATAGCAATTACTGAACCTGCTCTCTGAAACACTGCTAATGATATCACAGGAAATGACTTTTCCTGCTCTTATCAAACTTTCTGACCTCTTTCTCATTACTTTGGCATAACAATCCCTTTCCCCCCCACTACTGGCAGTCAGGGGCATGAGGAAGGTGACAAACGCTTGACTGGTGGGTAACCTCTGGAAATCAGTTATGAATTCTTGCAATTATTCATAATTCCTATTCAGCCCAGCTCTATTTGCTCAGACACTCACGTACCTGTCATTCAGGGTTACCACAGCTACTTGCTGGTGGCCAGCACCATACTGAGGACCACTGCGTACAACTTCTGGCTAAGCAGCATTCTTTTACAGTCTGAAAATAAGCCTGGAACAAGGACAGAGATTTCCAGGAGCTGAATGCTCTATCGCAACCTCCTTTGTGAATTCCCTTTTGAATGTGATTTTCCTCTTGACCACACCAACACATCAAAGAAGTCCATCAGAAATATGTCACTCACAGGAAAGAGCCATCGGTTAGAAACATGGACCTTGCAAGATTTCCCTTGTTGAGGGACGTCTTCGATTTGATAGCAATTTGCTTCAGAGCTTCACTTGCATCAGCAGGACACAGCAAATTGCATCTCAGTAAGTCAGACCGGTATGCAGGGAGTGGGTGCATTGCTGGTGGAAGTGAGGCAGAGGAGGGATCTCACCCCAGGTCATGCATCCTGGTGGGGTCCTGCATCAGCACTCAGAGCTAGCACAACATAAGGAAAGCTAAGAAACCACATAGCCAAAGCCTGGAAACAGCAAGGCAGAGGAGGAGGAAGTACAGCAAGAATGAGAGTGCAGTCAAAGCAGCAGCTGCAATGTGGAGGAACAAGCAATCAAAGGAAATATGGGATGAACACAAATGTCAGAGGCATCTGAGGAAGGACCAAAGTATTTTGCCTAAGAAAAGACAGGGAACCACTGAAATAGTACAGGACTCAGTGAATTAGGCATTGCTTCCTTTATCTTCTGATCCCAAACTTTTGCTAAACTCTTCTGGAGTAAGAGGTATTTGTTTTACTGGTGATGAACTGAAAGCCCTGTGCACCCAGCCACTTGCTCCTGTTTAGACAGAAAGGTTGAGTGGAACTGATATCCAAGGCTTTCCCTCCACCCTCCCCCTTAGGTTCTGAGAAAATCGGGATTTCTAACTCTAAAACCAGCAGACCTAAACCAGAACCTCTGCTTTTGATTTAGTTCTTCTTCATCACACTAAAGCAATGCATTATTATCCTGAGTGTGACTCCATGTTCTCACTGGTTCACAAGACTTCTCAAGCCTTGGTTCTCAATGATTACTTACAATGACTGTAGCTAGGCTTTAGATAAAAGGCTGTTTTGAATTTGTTATCCCACCTAGGTTAAGACATTCCTACCACTTCTCATTGCAGCCTCCCTTCTGTCAGTTGTCCCCTTTCCCTGTTAGCAAGACATAGTTGAAAAACTGCATTCTGTCTGCATTTGGGAAGAGCACTCCAGCCATCACGTATTAGAATACCTTGGGTAACTGCACTGCAAGAGGAACACCTAAATGGGCAAAGGCCAACCTCAGGATTTAGCAGGGGTTTAAAAGCTGTCATATTGTTACTTATCACAGCAAGGATGAAGAACAGCAAAAGCAGCCGCCCGGCTGAGCAGACGTTTCTAAGTACAGCAGTGATTTAGGAGTTTATTTCCTGCAGACTTCCAGTCAACCTTGAACTCCCAGCTCCTCAAGTCACTTCAGAAAATGAGATGGATGTGCTGAAGTAGTCAGGAGAAAGTACTGGTCCACTATCAAACACTTCTGATGATGTCTGAGAGCACGAGCAATCCCAGTCAAGGGGCCTTTCCTTAAAAGTGACTGGGTGCTTAAGTGCTTTCTTGGATTGCTGCCCAAGTACTTCCCAATGTATTCTGTAATTAGATACCAGCTGCAGCAATTTACAGTTAATACTTCCTTCATTCCAAGAAACTCTAACCAGCTACTGACACTCTGAGGCAAACAGTGACATTAGCAAGTCACACGCAAGAACTCGCCATCAAAGCACAACCACCTTTGCTTGGACGGATGCTGACAACAGACCAAGTGCACTGCAGTGGGACATTCAGTCCCTTGTGCCTGTACGTACGGCTGAGAAAGTCAGAAGTGTCAGGAGGACACATGAAGTCCTCTGTGGCGCAGCCCTTGATCCTGGCCCTGAAGCATGGCATCAGCAGTAAGTTCATTCCAGAGAAGTTCCAGGAAAAATGTAAGGCCAGGATAAGCCTGTTGACTTAATAAGGCATACAGCATCCTCTCAAAAAATGGATGGTGCAGCAGCCTGGAGACAGAGGGAGAGCATCCAGCAAGAAACCAATGCTCTAATGATAGAGGAGCTTACCACGAGACTAGTCACTTTTAGTCATTCTTTTGAGAAGCAAAGTAATCAGAAGGTGAAGACACCAAACCGCATGAAAATGTGCCCAGGTGCTTAAGGCAGACCTTCCTGGGGGGCAGATGCACCAGCACTACACCCAGCACCCTGCCAGGGAAGGGAGCTGGGTACCACCAGGCTCTCCACTTCCCTGCACTAGGTCTGATCACATTATCAACTGTGGCAACTGGAAGGGAGTTCAATTACATTAACTGATAGCTGAAACTTGGCCTCATTAACACCTGCCTAACACTTCTGAGCTCAGGAAGAATTTAGAGCATACATTTGACCTCTGTGGTAACTAACGATGGCCTAAAGTGGCCAGGCATAGCTCACATTTAATATTACTTTGAATCTAAATTAGTATTATGAGCTCTCACCAGGTCTCACAGTGTACAACCAGCAAAGAACTTCAGGTCTGCGTGAGAAGCAGCATCTCTTCACAGGCAGATGGCTCTGCTGTAAAGAAACACACCGCTGGATGCATCTAGGATTAGTGATTCCAGCAAAGGCTGACGATGCCAGAGCTAATAATTTCCAAGGACCAGCTGAGGATGGATAAGACCTGATATGTGAAACAGCCCTTCGGGCACCTTTCATGCAACCTGCCAAGCATCAGACCTGCGGCATCCTGCTGTTGTCTTGGGAAGAGTCTTTGAGCGCTCTTGCTCTGTATTTGCTACTGCAGATCTTGGCTGGCAACCCAGAGGTATATCCTTTGTATGCGAGTGAGACCTTGATGTCAGATCATTTTTCTCTATCCTGGAGATGATTTTCACTCTTTCTTTCCCTTGCATTGAACCACTTCCTTAAATGAACACCTCCCAACCAGTCCCCTGAGCCTAACTGCGAGCACTGTCGATGCAGGCACAGGAAAACAGGAAAGGCTCTTCAGCTGGCAGACCAGAACCTTGGGAAAAATATCATGCATTAACACACAAAAAAGGTCAAAGATTAGAAACTGGGGCACTGAGAAAACAAAAGCTGCTCAGATGCACGTGAGCCTGCTCACAGCAGCCCTGTGAGCTGGTAGGGAATAAAGGAAGGGAGTTTTCTTTGTGTGAACCTTCATTCCCTGATAGATGCATTTACTCTATTTGTGTCTGATCCAGCAGAAACCTGGAAGTCCTCTATTTATCAGAGCTGGGCTTACAGTCCATTTGAGTTGCACTGTTTGTTGTGAAGGACTGACACTACAGCCATGTGGGTAGCTCAGTGCATTACCAGGGAAAAAAACATCTTTCTTGCTCTCTTTCTGCCTTCTCTCTTGTCTGCATAGCTGCTAAGCTCCCAAAATTAGTTTTGCTTGCAGACCTTAATCTACTGAGTTTGGAAATGGATTAGGAAACGCATTTGGAGATTCCTGACAGCTTTGCCCTTCAGGAAAAAAATGCAAACAAAATTAAAGCTGCTTCATGAATCTTTAAAGTATTTAATACAAGATATTTTCAATTTTCAAAGCAAGGTTTTTCCAGTGAACCACTGGGATGGAGATGACTGTGGGTTTCTCTCCTTCACAAACCTCATGAAATCACTGGGCATGAAGAAACCTCCTCTGCAGCTCTAGCACAAAAAACCCCACCATGCTTCATACCCTGAAAGCTGCGGAATGGCCTGTGATTGTGTTTTATAGCCACAGCAGGAGAACAGAGGTGAAACAGCACTTCCTTGGGTACCTGATCAATGAAAGGACAAAGATAAATACTAAAAGGATTATTGAATCCTTGCTCGTTAATGCTAACAAATAGTACT